GTGTGTGTGTGTCAATTAGTTTGCAAATACTACTGTCGTCATTTTGTATCTGGGCCTTTGATTCTTCTTGAGTTTCAATTTGTTTAGTTAATTCGAAGACATTTGAGCTTGTATTTGATCGAAAGGAATGATCTTTACCTTTTCCTTCAACAGTAATAAAACATTGCAAACACAGGTAGGTTTTTTGTGCCTAAGCGTTCGCCCCACGTTTTGTTTATTCGTGTATTGTTAGTTTGTATTTGAAGATTCGATATAGGACATCTTTCAGTTATTCTAAAAGTCAGAATTTTAAACTTTTTTTTTTCTGTGTCATTGTATGATTTTCTGTTTCTTTGTTACATTCAGACACTACCTGATTCTCTGTGTTTTCTTTCTTTTATGTAGATTTGAATTTATGTAATGTTTGTGCATCTTTTTTATAGAAAGGAAAAAAAAAAATGGAGAAGGAGCTGATTGAGCTTTTCGAGTCTGTGAAGAGTGCTGCATATGCCGCCGAGAACTCTTTTGCAGAAGAGTATCGGTGCCTTGATGCATTGAAACAGCTCAAGAAATTCCCAGTTACCTATCAACTTCTTGTGTCAACAAAGGTTTTTTCAACTGTTTCTATGTCCGTTTCATGTTGAGTCATGCTACACTCACTATCACAATAATTTTTACAGATGAGTTACATTAAATACACATGGCAAACATCCAAAATCAACTATACAAGTTTTGTAAAATAATCTGGCAAGTCGATTAACTTTTTCATGTAACTAAGTTACATAAGGTTATGTTTGGTAAAACTAGTTGATAAGCTAGCTGCTAGCTTAGGTTATAAGTGATTTTCGGGCTTCTAGCTTCTAGCTTATGACTTATAGTTGAAAAGCTAGCTTATATGATAAAAGAGTTTGGTAAAATTGGCCAGCTGAAATAAAAAAATTCAACGAACTTATATGATAGAAGCTTATTAGATAAGCTCGAGCTTTTTTAAAAAGCTCGTCCTACCAAGCGAAGCTTATTTGAATAAAGGGAGCTTATAAGCTAACCAATTAAGTTATAAGCTAGTTTATCTGGTTACCAAACATAGCCTAACTCGGTTCGTGTTGTTCCCTTGATGTCTATCAATGTTCTGCACTTTTCACTTAGTTGATGGATGTTGAATAGATAATGAATGGCTACTGAAAAATGCTGAACATATTTATATCTCTACTGAATGATATTCATTTCTAAAAGTTTGGGATCTGTTGGAACAGTTTAAATTGGCGATCGATGGATGAATACTTTTTATTTTTATTTTTATTTTTATTTTTCCTCTGGGATTTTCATATTTTCCAGGTCGGCAAACCTCTCCGTCAGCTCACAAAACACAGAAGCCACCGAATCAAGACCTTCGCGGCCGATGTTGTCGATATATGGAAGGGCATAATCGTCAAAGAAACCTCAAAGGCCAAGTAAAACGAGACCCTCAACAATGCCGAAAACTTCCACTTCCACCGACCAAACTCCATCATGCCCGAGCAAGAAGACCCACTCGCCAAGAAACCGAAAATCGAGAAAACCACCAGCTCGGGCTCGTCCGCCCTCAAAATCGAGACAAAAGTCAAAGTCGAGAAGTCAACCCAATGTTCCGGACCACCGAAGCTAACTTCCCTCGTCTACTGCAAAGTCAACCGATGATGATGATGATCTGAAGGTTGAGGGTGTGCTGCTGTGTACATATATAGAGGACGAGTTGGGGCTTTTTTGTCACGTGTTATATAGACGCGTGGCGAGAGGAGGTGAGACCAATGGGAATTGGCACGTTGCTTTCAAAAATGTGTGTTGATTTTCAAGATCCGTTTTGATTTATTGATAATTGTGTGACGTAATTAGCTTAGGGAAATTATATTCGAATAAGAATATTTTTCTCCTAATCCTCTTCAACACCACGTGATGACATAAGTTTTCGACATTTCCAGTTTTCAACCTTGTTCAACACACTTTTCTTCTAAAAGTATGTGTTTAGCTTAATTTTTTTTAATTAAACTACAAATCTATTTTCGACTAAATTTAGGGTTAACTAGAGATTATATAACTTACTATGATTACATATTCACTTTAGCCTTAGATGGAGAAAATATGTGATGATATTTTAAAGTCAAAAGAGTTTTGAACGTAACAAGAACACAATTCATTTGTTTGGTGTCTTCATCATTTGACTTTCGAGCGTGGAAAGTTCGTTGGCACCAAAAAGTCCAACTATTACTATGATTATCATTATCATTATTTATTTATTTTATTTATTTATTTTCTATGTACATGACGGTCATATAGACAATACCAATCTTTTATGACAACAAATTTGATAAATCTTGTGTGAAATTCAAAAAATGAAACTACTTTGTCCAAAAACTATGAGAAATATGTTTTTTTTTTCTTTTTTTTCTTTTCAACATTGCTTGAGGGGCTCGGTCTACACATGCATCATTTA